GACGGGCCGCCCGACCACAGTAAGCTGCCGTCCCGTCCCGTCGGGTGCGGGCGCACCTTGTGCCCCGGCCTCTGCGTGTGTGCGCGGAGCGGGGCCGGGTGCCGCGGTCCGCAGCCCGGGGCTTGGAGATGGCGCTTTCCTGAGCGCGTTTGTGCGGAGTGGGGTTCTCCTCGCAGGCGGCGGGTGGCGGAGTGCGGCGCCGCTTCCCGCGAGGAGGTGCTCGCGCGCGCTGCGCTGCCTGGCGTGACAAGTGGCGGTGCTGCGTCCGGGCGGGGCAGGCGGCTGACCATGAAGTTATCGGGAGACGTCGGTGTTGGTTTTCTGGAAGTGAAAGCGAGAGACGTGAACGGCGGCATTGCACACTCGGGGCACAGATGATTATATACCCATGGGGGGGGGTGTCCGTATGCGTATGTCCGTAGGTATCCAGGTTGTAGCCGTATTAGTCTGGAGGAAAAGGCAATCAGGACTCATAGTAGAGATGATATCTTGTGTTGAACCAACAAGATTTTTGCAAAAAAAATCTTTAATTGCAAGCTTTCGAGGTAATTTGCATCATCGCAGATCCTCACAGGAGGGGAGAGGCTCCAGACCAGCTATGAGTTGACTGCCCAGAGGAGTTTTCCATCTACTGACTCCTCTGTGAAATCCTATGAAATATGAACTTTCATTTCTACCCAGGAGAATGTCTACAATCTTTTCTCCGATGCCTGATGAAGGGTGTTTGTGGCTGAAAGCTTGCCGTTAAAGACATTTTTTTGCCAAAATCTTGTTGGTCTAATAAAAGAGATCATCTCTCCTAGGAGTCCTGTGTGTGTATATGCACACGCACATTTCTGAATATATCATTATGACCTGAGTCTGCAGTGTGTATGTGTATGCACACACACGCACGTGGGGGGAGACCCATGGGGGGTGCACGGATGCAGTCGCAAATCCCTTTGATTCCTGTTCCCCACCCCCAAATTTAAAACCAGTTGCCTGAAAGTGGCAGCAGCATTTCTAGTGGCAGCAGTGCTGGGGGAGTCACTTGACTTCATGGCTAATTCAAATCTACCCAAGTCCTTCTAATCTCTTGATTCCACAGATGTTAACGGACTCTTTCTTCTTTCTAATGGTCTTGATGTTCCACTAATTAAACTAGGTATCTAAGTTGTAGCCGTATTGCTCTAGAGCAGCAGTTCCCAACCTGTGGTATGTATACCACCACTGGTATTCCGACAGCCTGTCAGTGGTACGCTTTAACGAATTTATTATAATTACTTTATGTGACAAAAGTGTTCTGGTGGTACTTAAGGTTGTATCATTTTTAAATTGGTGGTGTGCAGTCTGTCAGTTTAGGAACCACTGCTGTAGAGACAAAAAGATCAGAACTAATGGTGGAGGGGATATTCTTTATTAGATGTTTGCAAAAATGTCTTTATTTGTAAACTTTCAGCATACTTGTCACTTTCGGCACAAGCACACTTCTTCAGGCATAGGAGAAAAGACTGTAAAAGTGCTTCTAGGTAGAAATAAAAGTTCATATTTCATAGGGGAGTTGAAGGTGTGGTAAAATCTCCTGTTTGAAACGATTCATTTTATGTAGATTAGGCTCAGAGAAAAGTTGGAGTTGTCTGTTTACGTCCAAGTTTTGGCAAGTAGGATGTAGAGTCGTATTTCCTTCTAACTTATGATGTTTCATATTTCACAGAAGAGTAAAAAGATGGCATGCTCTTCTGAGCAAGAATTTCTTTTGTGGTGAGCTGGGCTCTGTGATGATACAAATTATCTCAAACAATGGCAGGAGCAGGGTCTCAGGTTTCAGGTGGTAAAACTTACTTCCTCCTTGTAAAATTATGAAGATTTAATTTTTAAAATGGGCTAAAATTCAATATCTTCCATGTGACAGGTATCCAGGTTGTAGCTGTATTGGTCTAGAGGCAAAAGGAATCAGAACTCGTGGTAGAGGTGATATCTTTTATTAGACCAACTTGCAGAAAAAGTTCTTTATTTGCAAGCTAATTGAGCTAGCCTTCCTTCTGCAATTCTGCTGTCTGTTAGCTGCTTCTGGTAATGTAATATGTTTTTCTGCTTAGATAGCATTCAGAGTATTAATATTAGTCCCCCAGCATTCTGTGACTTTACTGGATAATTTGGGTGGTCAAATTTGGTGATTTGATGTATAAACCTCTCTGTTCTGTTGTGATGCCAGCTCTTGTAAAATTATCGCGAGAGTTGCAATGTCTAAGTAAAATTAAGTTCGACTCATGATCTTGCATCTCAAGTCTCACCTCAAACTCTCAAGTCTCTGGATTTTTTTCTTCTGGCGTATCTCATGCCCAACCACGTCGGAATTGGCTGCAAAGTCTCTGGGAGCGCAGGCGGGGCCTAGCTGCATGGGGGTGCAGGGAGCCCTGCCAGCTCAGCACCAAGCCTGGGGCTGCAAAGGGTGGGGGGCTGCTCGGGGCATGATTCAATTTGGTGGAGATTTGGCGGCCAAATCCCCAAATCAGAATCAAATTGGAGGACCCTTTAATTTCTCTGAATCGAATCGGAACCCTCTGAATTGATTTGGAAAGGTTCAGCGATTTGGATATAGACACAGCTTTAAATGTTTTTTCTACATACCTCTAGGTAGCAGGC